AGATAAAATTATTTTCAGATTTCTATGTTTTTTACAGGTTCAAAAAAATGAATATCATTCTAATTTTTTATAATTCGGATTTTATTTTGTGTTCTAAACATTATATTAAGGTTTATCTTTAGCAAATTTTCCTTACTTTTATCCCACAGAGTTTCCTGGAAACATTCTCAGGACGTTGGGATGTTCTTTAGAATGTTCTTTATAATACTTTTGAAGATCTTTGTTTTTATTAACGCTTTATTCAAGCGTAAGATTTTATATAATATTACTTTGACATAATCACTTGTCATCCACATATCTGTAATAACGATATTATGTAATATTTTCCTCATTATGCAAATGTGATCGATTCGTATACATGAGGAATTTATAAATAAGATTTCCATATGATAATAAATACAATACAATTTAATTACAATACTGTACTTATAGCAAGGAAAGTAGAAATGTTTATTACGTTTATAAAAAATTTTAACAATTTTATTATATGATTCAAAAATATCACGCATAAATCCGGTATCTCAACGTTGAAACATTGCCAATATCCGGTTCAAAGGCCAGTCTGTTGATTAAAATTTGTGATTTGTCAATTGATCTAGACCTCTATCAATATGCTATTATATCTGTTAATTATATTATCAAAATATCTTTTATATTTGTATATATGTATATATATATATTAGGAGTTGGAATTAATTCGTAGCGTTTTTTAATGAAAGAATGTTATTTATGTCACATGAGCATGAAAAAATACATTAAGGAAAGTACTTCCCATCACTTGTAAAACGCTACGAATTAATTCCAACACCTAATATATATATATTGTATGTATATATGTATATATATATATATATATATATATATTGTTATATGTATATATATATATATATATGTATATATATATATGTAGGCGTATAATTTTGCTTATACCGTTTTTTTCCGAAATTCGAGGCTTTATTGTAAAAAACTGGTTATACATTTATGATTCAAAAGTATTGTCCATCGCTGGCCTATTACTATTTTCTCCCATCTTTCGGGCAGCATACGAATCCCGCGTCGAAAAAACTGGTCATCTTTTGAGGTGATCCACGAATCGATCCAATTTTTTACTTCT